CATGACTAGACATTCGAGTCACAAATAGCGACTTTGAAGATACTAATAATATAGTGTCTTTAACGTCTCCACTGAGAACTTTCCCAAGGAAAAAAAAACAACTTGTCCATTGAGAAAGATATTTGGCCACTGCCCAATAAAAATATCTGAATGGGTCAACTTAGAGAGAAAGAGATAGGGGGCATCTTAACATGAGGTCATCTCAGTGGTTGACCAGAATTGTTGATGAATCTTTAAAGTCCAAATGAGGTATTGAAAGTCCAATCAAATGCAAGTTAATAATTCTATTGCATTGAGTTGTTCAATCACGTATATATTCAAAGTCCAACCAAATGCAAGTTAATAATTCTATTTATCGGACTTGTTTACACAAATATTGTAACCGAATCAAGCAACAACCCTTTATTGACCCTTTCAATCAGAGCTTCAAAAGGGAGAGAAAACTAGAAGCAAACCTAACTTGATTTCTTTGGGACACTCTCACTAAAAGCACACATACTTTTTTTTCCTTTAATAAGAATTTTCTTTAACCCAAACATATAGATGTTTTTTTAGCTCATTTATTAAATACATCTATAATACATCATAGCCATTGATGATCTCAAATCAGAACTTTGTTGATCTAAATACATCTATAATACATCATAGCCATTGATGATCTCAAATCAGAATTATATTGATCCAACTTTTGGTCAACAATGGCATTGGTGTATTCAATCAATGGGCAAGATTTGTCTATTTATCGGTGAGTAGATTATCTTTACTGACAGCTGATGTGGTCCAATTACAATTATAAAATCAAAAAAATGATAAAAAAGGAAATCAAATAGGGTGACTGAATTTATTTCAAAAAAAAATTATTGTCACTTTCCTCCTATTTTTTAAATAGACAAAGACTTGCCTACTCACTGATGAGTATCCCTACTAACTATTGATGTGGTCTAATCACAAATGCACAAATGTCTATAATTACAATATCAGAAAAGTAATAAAAAAAAAGGACAATAACTTTTTTTTTTTTTTTTGAATAAATCTAGTTACCTTCCCTGATTTCCTTATTTATCACTTTCTTGATTTTGTAATTATGAATTATTTGTGCATTTGTGATTAGACCACTTACCGGTAAGTAAGTAAGTTTTGCCCTTTTATTTGTAATTGAACTACATCAACAATAAGTAGAAATGAGCTATTCGCTAGTGAGTTAGGCAAGTCTTGTCTATCCTAGTGAATATTTAGCAAGATTGTTAATTAATTAAGAAATATCCTTAAATTATATATCTTGTTTTTCCTTTGACAATAACCATATCCACTAAATAATATCTATTCCCATAAGATAAAGGTAACAAATAAAAGTATTCCTTTTTCCAAGATTGGTGAATTTTGAAGCATGAAGTCACAAATAGCAATTAAAAAAGAAAAAAATTAAAATCTCACTACTTAATTTTACATATTTAAAAAAATAACCATTAACAATCTCTGAATGGGTCAACTGAGAGAGAGATGGGGCATCTCATGAGGCCATGCAGTGGTTGACAAGAATTCTTCATGTATCTTTAAAGTCCAAATCATGTATTCAAAGTCCAACCAAATGCAAGTTAATAATAGTATGGATTGAGTTGTTCCTTGTACACAATCTAGTAACGGACCAAGCAGCTACCTTTATAATTTATTGACTGTTTCAATGCTTCAAATCTAGAAGCAAACCTAATTTATTTTCTTTGGGACACCAGTGTCCCTATTCTTTCCCTCAATTATTTTTTTATTTTATTTTTTTCAATGAGGAAAGAGACAAATCACTTTGTCATTTTGGAAATTCAAACTCTTACCATCCATTTTAAATATATTACGTCCAAAACTATAATTGTATTTTTGGAAATTCAAACTCACCGATACACATACTATTTTGTTTTTTTTGAAAATTCAAACTCTCACCATTCATTTTTAATATTTTTAAAAGGTAAAAAATATATTACTAAACCACAAGCATGGATGGAGCCAATGCATGTTCGGGGCACATGCCCCTCGGCCCTGGCCCTTCCCTTATATATGCATAATTTTTTTTTTTTTTTTTTTTTTTTTTTTTTTTTTTTTTTTTTTTTTTTACCATATATGCAGGAGAAATTTTATAGTATGCCCCCCTAAAATTCTTATTTATTAAAATTATATCTTATTTTTTTTCTTTTCTTTTTTTGCTTCTTTTACTCTTCAAATTCTTATAATTTCTTTTCCTTTTTTTTTTTTTTTAAAAAAAAAGTTACATCCCTATTTCCCTTTTGTCAATCAAATTCTAATTTTTTTCCTCTCAAAGTTCTCTCTCTCTTTTTTTTTTTTTTTTTTCACTTGTTAAAATTCTTCTTTTTGTACTTATATATGATGTATGTAACATTTTTTTTTTTTTTTTTCTCTTCTTAATTACATTTGTTATTGTAATTTTATGAATTCAATTGTGTTTAATTTCATGCATAGCTTTCAAAATAAAACTACATTTATCATGTTATTTGAATTTCCTCCCTCTTCGGACGAAATTAAATCCTAACTTTGCCCCTGGCCACAAGGCTTTTGGTGATAGATTTCCTAATTCAATATCTATTGTTTTGATGATAACCTAAGTTAAGGATATTACTTTTTTGAAGTTTTTCATACATATGCAATAAAAAGTATCTATTCCATCAATTAAGGTAACAAATGAGTACCAACAGTGACCTACGGTACCAAACTCCTACCTTTCAAAAAAAGATCAAAGGTTCAAACCTTAATAGAAGTATACGTGTGAGAATATCAACTAAGAAAAAAAAGGTAACAAATGAGAAATTATACTTTCTTTTTTTTTTCCTTTCCAAGACTGGAGAATTTTTCCTTCTACGTGGGAGGTGAAGGTTGAAGCATGAAGCCACGAATAGCATATAATAAAATTCTTAGATACACTTCTTGATAAACACATTACCTCAATGCTTGATCAACCACCCATTGACCACTAATCTCTAAAAGAAACAAAAACTTATTAAAATTAGAAAATATAAGCATAAATAAAATCACTCAACTCAACATGCATGTTTAAACTATTTCATAACAATGGTATGGTTAATATTTCCTAGACTGATTGAACATTTTTAGCAACCACGTTGCATTTGCAAAAAAGTAATTATTGCACTAAATTGTGTTAAGGTAGACAATTCACAATATTGGAATTACATGTAATCAAAAGTACGATTTTTATGAATGCTATCATGTACTCAGATTTGTATCACTATTAGTGTATATAAATGTTAATCAAATAATTAATCCTAGTAATGAATTGGAGTTGGTCAATACATTAGATTTAGCTCGGATTGTCTTTGAATGAATGATGAATTAAAAACTTTAAAAAGTAATTTATGATAGATAGATACTAATTATAAAATTAAGGTAAGTGGTATAATTAATAATTTAAGAAAAAATGACAAATTTAATAAGAAAGGGTAAAATAATCTTTTGTGATGAGATTGTCCTTAATTGTAACAAAAATAAATATTAAAATTTAAGAAATATTTATCTTTATAGCTAAAATTAAATATTAAAATTTAAGAAATATTTATCTTTATAGCTAAAATTAGCTCTTACATTAGATTCACTTGGCACTATGTATATGGTAATTTTTTTTTAATATATAAATGAAATTTTTCTGTATAATGTTTCCTCAAAACTTTTAGGATCTGCTTGGTTTGTAATTATAAAAACAGTTTTATGAGAAAACAAGACAAAAATCTCTGTTTGGTTCAGTTTTTAGAAAACTATTTTCTGAAAACTCAATTATAAAATTTCTGTTTTTAAAGAATTATAAAAGATTGTTCTCTGAATTTTTTTAGACTGTTTTCAGAATTATAATCCAAGCAATCTCTTAACTTTTTTCTTCTTTTATTTTTTCTCTTCAAATTTCTTTAACTTCTTTTTAAATAAAAGAGTTAAATTTTCCTTATTCTATTTAACTCTAATTTTTTTTTTTCTTCTTAAAATCCTTTGTTTTTTTTGGTACTTATGTATGATGTATATAGTATATAACTTTTTTTTCTCTCTTTTTATTCTTTTGTTGTCACTGTAATTTTATAAAGTCAATTGGGTGTAATTTCATGTAGGACTTTCAAAATACAAATACCCACATTTGTATTTAGTAGGAATATTATCCAATAATATTTTAGTTTTTATATTGATCAAATGTTTATCTTCCTTATACTACTAATCATTGATTTGCATATATTTTGCAATTTTTTTTTTCTTCTTCGCCCAACAAATTAGTAATTTTATTTTTATTTTTTACACTATGTCTTCATGATTTGAAATTTTGGCCCTGCCATGCTTGCTATATATATATAATATAATAAGTGTTTTTCCATGACATGCCTCATAATAAGCAGCACGAATACTAGATACAAATGTGACATAATACAAATAAGGCAATACGACAAATCTAAAAACAATAGGACACAAATCAAGCATGAATACGAATTAATAATATAATATATATTATTTTAAATATAAATAATAATTTTTTTTTTGTCATTTTATCCATATAATTACAAGCAAAAATGTTTGTTATTTTTTATTTTTTAAATTTTATATTATTTTTCTAAAATTTTTACCTAAACTAATCACGGATGCTTCCTAGCATGCCTCATAGGGTAATTAGATTTTTATAGGATATATAAATCCAAAACTCACTCTAAAACAGATTTTGATATAATTAAGTGAGTCGGTTATTAATAAAAAAATAAATATATAAGAAATGAATTATTTATGAAATGATACACTAGTGAGATTTACATCATTCTCACAGGTGACGGGAACCAGTAATAAATTACCATTTATGTAATTTGTTTATGATTTGATAAGTGTCTATTTACTATTTTTGTGATGAAATGTTTATTTATTATTGACCCACTTGCTAGGATGGTGTACAGTGAGAACATAATTATTACTCTTATTTATTTGCTTTTCAGAAAATATTAAATAGCAGCATTAATTTTACTTCTCTCCTGTGAGAGTCCTCCCTCTCTATGAAGTAGTGTTGCAATTGTATGGCAAAGCTCTCGAATTTGTGCTTACCGAAAAATCCTTGAAAATCACATTCCTTTCCATTCCAGGAGATATAAAATCACACAAAAGTAGGAAAAAAAGAAGTTTATACTCCATATATATATATATATACAATACCCAATAAAGGACCACTCTTCTACGGTTCTCTTTCTGAACTCATTGCGACTGGGTTAGTATCTTAATCTACACATTGGATTGATTTTGATCCATTTTTATTTTCTGGGTTGATTTTGATTCGTTTTATTTTCTGGGTTTTGTTCTGTGTTTCGTTTTATTTTCTGGGTATTCCTTAGCTTTTTGTTTGGTTTCCATTTTTCTATTTAAGTCGGTTACTTCTTTATATGAAGATAGATCCCAAATAAGTACTAGGAACAGATTTTTTTGTGGTTTTGGTTCGTTTAAATTGTTATTTCGTTTGATTTTTCATGTGGGTTTGTGTATATGCGTGATCATTGTAGTATGCTACTAGAACCGCGTTATTGTTTGAATTATGAATCTATGTTTTTGAATAAGAATTTTATTTAGATCTCCCTTTTACTGTTTGGCGCTTTGCTAGAGGTAGTTCTGGGAAAAATCTGTTTGGGAAGTTTAGAGAACTAAGATAGTATTTGATGTTCATTAAAATTCACTGTTGGCATTCTTTTTTTGGTACAAAAGATGGAATATGGGGTACATATACATGTTCTAGGGTTGATTCTCATGACTAGGATCTATGATGTGTGAAAAATAATGAACAATCATTTTTATTGATTTTTGACAATAAAATCTAATTGGACTAAGTCCCATGGTTTTCCATTATGGACCATCAAGTACATTTTACCTATTCTCCTACTTGTGAGCCATTGTTTTGGTTCTTTACCCTTGTATATCGTTTGATTATTTAGGTTCTGCAAACACTTGGTTTTAGATTATGCTAGTGTGGCATGGACTTTTATCAAGAAAGAACATCAAATTCTACTGCTTAAAAAATTAATATGGGTGCATATCGTGGCAAAATTCGACGGAAGGCGTAATGATACAAGGCATTTTACTTATTTTGTTGTCAACATCATGATTAGCTCAGGTTATGCACCCTAAATTATGGGGCCAGTGATTAGCTTGTGTAAAACTAAAAACTACAGACATGGAGCTATCAAGCATAAATGATAGTAGGTGTTATCTGTGGCTGAGTAGGGCACCCGGATGTATTTGTAACCTATGGTAGAATTAGTAGTCATATCAGTTGATCATGTAATTTATGTTACTTTAACATGTTGCAGATTGTCCCTTAGCTTCTTTGCTGTGTTTTCGGTTAATTGTTGACACAGGAGTTACCTTTCTTTCTATCCAAAGGATCCTATTTCTCAAATTCTTTCATGAGAGCTAAACTACAATGCTCTTTAGACATACATAAATATATATGTCTGTACTTTAATACACATCCTTGGTCAGCTGAACAGAAAGGCTTCACAACTAGAGACGGAATACATTTTCCCCTGGTGTTTACTGGGCCTTGTTCATTCAATTCTCAGAAAGAATGTTAATTCTCTGACTTTCAGTTTTTAGTTATTTGTTGTGATCATGCCTCTGAGCCTGTGATTTGTAAGATGGTTTTTGTAGCATTCAAGTGGATATACTTCATATCCTTCATGCTTGTTAGAGATAAGGTCTTTTGGTTGTAACAGATAATGTAAATTCATTAATATTGTCCCATTGGTGTCTATGATTATATCTATAAAAACAAACTTGTGCACAGAAATGCTGTTCACACACACACACACACATATTGGGTGAGACCACTGCTCTTAATACATGACGGTGTTAGCCAGATCGTTTTGCTTCTGTCAAGAATTTTTTTTTTTTTTTTTTTTTTTTTTTTTTTTTTTTTTTTTTTTTTTTTTGGTTTAATTGTTAATTTTTACCTTCTAGCTCTGACTGTGTTCCACGCTCTTGAGTTATCGTATTACATTGTTTTTTTTTTCAAAAAAAAACCTTTTCAAATGACTTATCTTGCTGTATTCTGATTCTTCTTTAACAGAGGAAGCCATCATAGTTCCAATGGCTCATGATACTTCTAGTGCTGAATCAACTCGTCGAAAGCCTTGTCTCTTGAAAGATCAAGTTCGATTAGTCAAGAAAAAGGATTCTGAACGTCATGGCATTGTCCCTATCCAGGATTCCCTGTCATTTGAGAAGGGATTCTTTATTGTAATCCGTGCATGCCAATTGTTAGCCCAGAAGAATGATGGACTAATATTGGTAGGATTAGCTGGGCCCTCAGGAGCTGGGAAGACTGTACTTACTGAAAAGGTACTCAACTTTATGCCAAGCATTGCTGTCATTTCAATGGACAACTACAATGATTCCAGTCGAATTATTGACGGCAATTTTGATGGTAAAACCTTCTCTCCAGGCGTTCTGCTTTTTGGACTTTTTAATAGCACTTCTTGACTGGATTACTGATGGTTTTTATTACAATCAGGTTTTTGTTTTTCAGTTGTTCCACAGTGTGGAGAAAACATGCTTTTATTTTTATTGAATTTGTTTTCTCTCTTCTTTCTATATGCTTAATATGAAGCTTCTAAATTTCCATGATTATTTAATCTCAACTCGCAAGAAGTGATGAAAAACAATAATTGACCTTAATGAAAACTTGAAAGGTGTATAGAGCCTATAGGCAAGAGATACTCCTTGTTACTATGGTCGAATATGGTTATTACTTTTAGGTATATAAAAATGACGAGTGCTAATATTGTCATTTAAAATGCTGGTTTATCATGCATCTTCAGAAACCCCGTCCAGTGCTATTACTTTTAGATGGAATGCTGGTTCATCATGCATCTAATATTACTTTTAGATGCAATGTGACGTGAAACCTCCTGTCAGGTGCTATGGTCAGGGTTTGAGTCAAGAAATCTTCGGAATTGTTTTTTTTTTTTTTTTTAACTCTTGCCAAGATTATTTTATGTGTAGGTTATTTTATTTTTGCTCAAGGAAAGGGTAGCTACTTAGAAACTCATCTTGGAGATTGAAATTCCAGGACAAAACGATGCAAAACAGACCAAGAGGGGTTGAGACTGTCCTAAATTAAGTAAGAGACTAATTGTTGCCTACGAAGATTATTTTTAAATTTGTACAAATAATCAATATGCTTTGTGCCTCAACTGAAGAAAGAACAAAAAGGTGTCACAAGGGCTTCTAGCCCAGTGGTATAACCTCTCCTCCCCAAATGCGGAGGTTGAGGGTTCAAGTCCCTCTAGGCACATGTGGATATGGGTGTGTGTGTTTGTTTTAACTTCCAAAAACCAAAAAAAATTTTAATAAATAAAAATAATACTAATAATAAAAAAAATACAAAAGGTGTCACTTTTTCATTTACAAACAATCACTTTTGTGACAGGGCTTGATCTACTTTCAGCTAAACTTGTTTGCAAGCTCCTAATATGTAGAGCATTCTTTAGCCCTTATATGGATCTTTACAGTTTGTTCGCGTTCACATTTCTTTAGCATGCATCATTGATTTTTCTCAGCTTGGTCCTTGGGCATACAACATTTCTTTCATTATCAGCATCATCTCATGCCTTCCTTTTGGCCATTTAATGAAGGGTAACACTGATGCTAGAACTGTTTGGTTGATTCATTGCAAATCCAAGCAGATCATGGGCAATTACTCTTGGGAAACCACAGAAGCAACAAAAAACAACACTGCCCTTGAATGAATGAATGAATGAGTGAAAGAAAGAATTGATTTCTTGTTTTCATTATCATATGCATTTAGCCAAAAATTTATGATTTCATAAATATCTTAAATTTTGTGTGTATAAACTAGATTGTGTAAGTGAGAACGTATCTATGTATTTGCTGATTTCCTTTTTTCTTTTTTTAAAATCATTGACGTCTTGCATTTAGCCAAGGCTTGTATGACTTCATAGACCCTTTCATGTATCTTCTAGATTGTGTTAGGGAGTAGTGGGCATGCATTTTTGTGTGTGTTTGTTGTACCTACCAGTTTAAATTTGAGATGGTTCAATTCCTCTAGATTTTTGGCATGCAGAGAACATTCTGGAACTCAGTGTCCCGTCTTCAAAGTAGGCTAACTATTTGAAATTGAAATACAGATCAATTTTTAATGGGGTCTAGTATCTCTCTCTTTTTTTTTTTAAAACAGATCCACGCTTGACGGACTATGAAACTTTACTCAGGAATATCCATGATTTAAAGGCAGGAAAGCAGGCTGAGGTTCCGATATATGATTTCAAGTCTAGTTCTCGCACAGGATACAGGTGGAACTTCTTTTCGTGTTATACATCTGAATTGCTAACTGTATACCAAAGGGCTTCATTACTTTCTTAGAAGTTATTGGGGGCTTAATAAGCTTGAGAAGGAAACTACATTTGAATAAATTTCTAATTTCTTGTTAAAATATATGATCAATTTTACCATATGACAAGCATCAAAAGTGTTATTCTGGTTTACTTATAAAAAATATTAAAATTATTCTGTTTCTCTTTGTTTTGCTTTCCTGATGAGTTATTTGTATGGTCATTCAGTGAAATGTTATTTCCTTGGAAAAATAGTAAATAGGGATTGGTTTGTGCTTCTGTTTTTTTTAAGACGATACTTTTCTCAAAGAAGAAAGTGTACTAGTTTATCATCCTTTCTTTTCTCTCTACTGGTCTCAAAACGTTGACTTAGAGCTTGAGAGTTAAGACCCAAAGCCCCTAGGACAAAGGTAGACCAGTATACTAGCCTATCATCCTCGTCTGGATCAATCGATGTGGATATCCTTCTTTTCCTTTCATTAATTTCACATTGCATGTATTCATATCTGACCTCCACAAGCTTTTGTCATACTGTAATGTTCCAAGTCTTATTTCCCCGCACAAGAATCCAACTTTAAGTTTGCTTTCGCTTTTGTTACTTTATTATTATTATTTTTTGAGTTACTACTTAGTCTTAAGATGCTCTCTCTGTCTCTCTCTCTACTCACGCATATGCACACCCACACACGCCCACACAACGCACCATGTAGTAGATCTTAGAACTCATTTCAGTATTTGCTGGTAGCAGGACACTTGAAGTCCCAAGCTCCCGAATTATGATTATTGAGGGCATCTATGCTTTGAGTGAAAAGTTGCAGCCTTTACTGGATCTTCGTGTATCTGTTACCGGTGGAGTTCACTTTGACCTTGTTAAACGGGTTATACGGGACGTACAACGTGCTGGGCAAGAACCAGAAGAAATAATCCACCAGATATCTGAAACGGTTTTCCACTTATACTCTGTTAAATATATTCATGAACTTTGATGATCTTCTCTTTGAAGAGTTCTCAATCACACTCTTTTATGCAGGTATATCCAATGTACAAGGCTTTTATTGAGCCGGATCTCCAAACGGCAGATATTAAAATCGTCAACAAGTTCAACCCATTCACTGGATTTCAGTGTCCTACTTATATTTTAAAGGTTAATCTTCATTACTAAAATTACTTTGTATTTACTTCTTTAGTGGTGGTCCACGGAACAGCCAAAAATTATATTCAATAATGAGTTAAGAAATCTATATTATAAACTGTGTGCTACCTGTTAATTGTAGTCATCGAGAGACGTGACCGTGGATCAAATCAGGGCCGTAATGCCTGAAGGACTGAAAGAAGCTATGGAACAGACTTATGATATATATCTTCTTCCACCTGGTGAAGATCCAGAATCATGCCAATCATATCTAAGGATGAGGAATAAAGATGGAAAATACAATCTCATGTTCGAGGTTTGCCCTTTTGTCATAATAACTGGCACTTTTGAGAAATAATAGGCAGTTATTTGTTATAGTTTAGTCTTCTTGTCATGTCTGTGCTCATTTTGAGAAATTAATTGGTAGGTTCAAGGATCCTGAATTTTATGTGTATTGTTGCTACTATCACATAGTGATATGTTTACAGAGATGCATAAAATGTTAACATATTTTCAGCTGGTAATTTGAGATATATATAGATATACTGCATAAACATGTAGGAGTTATCATAGAAAGCAAAGCACAGAGGTGGAGGACGCACTGTCAATGTGTTAGCTCACTAGTTGAACTGCTCTAAGAAAATTTGATTGAAACCAGAGGTTTATTGCAACCTAGAATGGAGGAAAGTAAGAAATCAAAGAGTTGGATGATATTAGTTTTTGGGTGCTGATGAAGAGCAATTGAGGCTTTTAAGGTGTGTCTTCTTACTATTTGAAACAAAGTTAGGGCTGAAGATGAATTTGGGTGAGAACAATGATGGGTAGTGTGGAACCAAATAAATACAGTACACCAAGGCCCAACTCTGCGGTTCCATCACTGTGGTAAGTTGGTGGGGTGTTGTAGGGGGCAGAGGCCCCCTGCCTGAAGGTGGGGGTTCGGGGGCCTGCCCCCGACCCGAATTTATTGGGAGGTTATTTTGGCAATTTCCGTACTTGTTATGTTGCCCTAGTGCGAGGGTATTTATTCATTCTGAACACTCTGTATCTGCTGCTATTTTTTATCATCGTATTTAAATCCTTGCAACCCTTGGACATAGCCCTAGTTTTGAGTGAACCAAGTAAAATTCGTGTGTTCTTGTTGTGTGTTTGATCTATTTTTTTGCTTAATTTTGCAACAAACAAGATGACACTGGTGGAGAAGGTGGATAGCTTGGTAGCAAATTTGAGGGGTTAGGATCCCTTCCATCTTCTTACTGAAGACACATGTTAGGTGCACTCTTTAAAGCTAAATATGTTAAGAGCACTATGATTGTAACATTTGAGCCTACATTGATGATTGGAAGCAACAATATCTTTTGAAATGGGATGGGCTCACTCCCATGAGAAGCACCCAATCAAGCTTCCCAAGTTTTTGTCCATTTTCTCATTCTTGCATCAATTAATGAAAAGCTCAAGGAGCTCTAAAACATTTTATTGAAGGAGAGAAATGAATCCAAGTACCATTTGATAGAGTGGAAAAAAGTCATGAAGTTTGCTTACCAAGCAAAGAGGGATGTGTATCAGGAACCTTAGCTTGTGTAGTTAAGTTCCGTTAGGGATATGGTTGTAGAGATGCATGCCAAGGAGAGGAATAGCCTGTTGAGGTCAATAGTTAAGAGGAAATATGGGAATGATAGGGGTGTCAGTGGAAGTCGTGCCTCATGTGGGATGTGAATTTGAAAGAGAGATAGTGGATATAGAGAAAGGTTCTCTGAGTATATTAGTGTGGATATAGAGAAAAGTGAGATAGTGGCTTGACCATTAGTGTGGATGATAGCCCTTTTAGATCAGCTTTTCCAACTCTCTTTAGGCTCACTGTTAATAAGCAGGGCCTTGCTGCAATTATGTTATGCTCTGAGAGGGTGGAGCAATTTGGGATCAGAATTCAGGAGCCTGTTGTAGGATTACAGGGTGGAAGTTGTGGAAGCCTTTCCTGGCAACTTGTCTGCTTGCTGCTTTGTTTGGAGGTCAGATGATTCCCAAGACGGGAGAGGAAAGTTTAAGGTTTGCTCCTATTGTAGAGTACCAAGGAGTCTTCGTGCTTCTCTTGAAAGGTCATTTGGCTTGTGGAAGTCTCTTCTAAGATAGTTTTTATTTTATTTTATTTATTTTTATTTTGTTGGACAGCATCCCTAGATATGATTCCAACTATATAGAAAAGTTGGGGAGGAGGGGAAAATTCATCCCGAACTAGTTTTGTATGTGCAATAATGCTGAAGAAACATTGAATTATCTGCTCATCCCTTTCTCGATGGCTATTGATTTGTGTTTTATTCTTCTATCTTTATTTTTTTCACAAGGTCATGCCTGGATTGAGTTGCCGGTTGCAAAGTTAAAGCACTTCATCCAAAGTTTAGCGTTCTTTTTAATGATGTATATTTTATCTATTTCGGCTGATTCTTTTGTTGATACTTTGAGATGGATAAGATTACAGTTCTATATAGTTGGATTTCTTTTTATTTTTATTTTCTTCCTTCCTTTGTATAATTGTGTTTTCATATGGCACCGTCTTGTTGTAGTGGTTTCCTTTTATTTATCCAGAAAAAGAGGAGTCCTTTGTATGGCACCCTGGATTTGCTAAGAATTTGAGTGACTGGTAGAACTGGAAAGCAATTCTCCATACTGACATCTGATCAAATTGATTATGCTTTTGTATTTCAGGAATGGGTTACAGATACTCCATTTGTTATATCACCAAGAATAACTTTTGAAGTTAGTGTCAGGCTTCTTGGTGGGCTGATGGCTTTGGGATACACGATAGCAGCTATTCTGAAAAGAAGCAGCCATGTATTCTGTGATGAAAGGGTTTGTGTGAAAATTGATTGGCTAGAACAACTGAACCGTCATTATATTCAGGTAGTACAAATATTTTTCATCTTCGTCTTTTTGCCGGTGATTTAAGAGGAGTAACCATATATTAGAATTTTCTTGTCTCCTTTTCGCTAAAGATGATGTTGCTTTTGCCTTCTCTTGGTGCTTCCTGTTTCATGTTGGTTATATTGCCTTTGTTTTCTGTGATGAATTCGAAGCAATTTTCATATTCATAATTAAGCTGAAAATAACAGCACTTTAGTCTCTAGTTGGCCACGTGCCAACAAATCTTTGCTGTAGGGTTGATCAGTGCTGTTTGTTGCTGAGGAATATAATGCTTAAACCGGTCTTCTATTTTATGCCTTCAAAATTGTTGAATGCTTGAACAACTATTTCATACTTATAATATAGGATTCACATCACTGTACTAGCTGTATTATTATTGTTATTTTTAATTTTCTTCAACAGCTTGAATGATGACTCCTCATTTTTGTTGCTTTTAAACTCTCCCATGTAGTTTGTCATGCATTGTGTGCTAAGTAGAGCTAAATTTTAACAAGAAGTTTGCCATTTTGATAAAAAAAGGTGCAAGGAAGAGATCGTCTAGTTGTGAAATATGTTGCCGAGCAGCTGGGATTGGAAGGTTCATATGTTCCTCGGACTTACATAGAACAGATACAGCTGGAAAAGCTTGTAAATGAGGTTATGGTATGACAACTTCTGAAGACTATTATTATTCCTTTTCCTGCATTTGAGTCCTGATCTAATCATTCTGCAGGCATTGCCAGATGATTTAAAAACAAAGCTCAGCATAGATGAGGATCTGGTGTCAAGCCCTAAAGAAGCACTTTCTCGAGCCTCTGCAGACAGGGTGGCCATGCGAATTAAGCATCTCAAGAGGTGCAATTTCCTGATCCTGCCATTGTCTGGGCATTAATTGGATAATGATGTTTGTCTATATGGATAATGAGGCTTGAAAAACATAACTGATCATATTAATTGGTTTGAGGCTGCATTTATATTTAATATGTCTATATCATTGTTATTCAAGGTTACAACACAAGTCAGCTTCTTGAATTTAATATGTCTATATGTCTATCAAATTCTGCTCCGCTGTTCCATCCTGTTGAGACATGTCTATGAATTGAATCATGGGTCTTGCAGAACTTTTTGACTATGTGCCGATCTTGATTTTTTACTACAATTATTCATTCGTTTTTGTTTCTTTTGATGATGTCAATATATCTACTTGGAATTTATTTGTTTTTAATACTTTCCATGAGATTGAGTGCTTTTTTTTGCCCACAAATATCATACGGATATCATTTCTCTACTTTGAACCTCTTTGACAGTCAGACTGCTCTTTGAAATTTATCTTTGTTCCATCTCGCTCTTTCAATCTTGAAGTGCTGATAAGCTAGTTAACAGATGATGTGCATAATTTTGATTCTATTTGTTCTTGCGATGGGGTTTTCACCAAGCTTCTAGTACTTTTATTATCTTGATAATTGATTGAGTAATTTTGTCAGCCAGGCCAGCCCAGTATCTGAACCTGGATTTTCACTCCGGCCTACAAACTCTCTTCTCTTACACCTTGCCATGTTTCTTTTTCTTTGACAAGTGTGATCTACGAAAGTTATATATATTGCTATTTTGTTGATAGTTCTTAGTTCGATATTAAAACGGATCATAAATTATCTTGTGTTATGCACAATGTGCCACTGAGGCATGGAGGTGAATTTGGACCATCTGATGCTCGAAGATATCTAGGACATCTATGAGAATATACTTCTTGTTGTATTTGAGAATGCATATCAGTATTTAATGCACCAAATTTCAAAAAAAAAAAAAAAAAAAGACTTGACGGAATAACCTTTATTTTGTTGACCCATTGGTTGATGCCAATTTCCAATGCTCTATTTTAACAGGGGATGCACATCCCAATTAAGCACTCACACTTCCATATTTTAAATATGAATGAGCTTATATGTTGATGCACTTTTTTTCTCTCTCCCTGGACATTTGATGCTTTCTTAAGACCCACCTTCGATGCTATGTCAAACTAAATTGTGGTTTATTTATATTTTGAATACAGGGGCATTTCCCATTCGTATTCAACACAAAGAGACAAAAATTTTCCCAGGCTAAGTGGATATGACAGGACTGCAGAATCGCCAGCAACATTAGCAAACCCGGTGATTTTATGCATGCTTCAAATATATTTTGTGCCTTGTTTAATCTTTTGGTTTCACTCTGGCATCTAATTCTGTACTAATCAATCTCCTTTGCCTTTTTTTCTTCCGTCCAGGGAGCCATCACACAGCTCTCAGAACAAATTTCCACGCTAAATGATCGGATGGATGAATTCACATCTTGTATTGAAGCGCTGAATACCAAGATAACTAACAAGAGTGTTTCTAGCAGCCAACTAAACATGGGTTTGCAGCCTGAAGCCTGCAATGGATCTGCTCCCGCTTCTTACTTCATCTCTGGTTCAGGCAATGGCTACCTGCCTGGATCCATAATGCGTAATTCATCATCTTCCTCTCAGTTAGCAAAGGAGTCTTCCTTGATGGAAGAGGTACCATGACTAATCTCATTATACCTTTTAAATTTTATAATGATCATTTTCTGCAGATCTGATATATATGAGAAGAGTTGCCCGCTATAATTCTAAAGTGAAAGGCAGAAATGAATCATTTTCCTTCCATGATGTCAGACAAAGACTTTTGTTTCTCCATGAAACTTGAATAACAAAATGAAAATGAATTCCCAATGAAGGCCAACTATTGTTTCACAAAAAAATTGAATGGGTTAAATAGTGATGGAAGTCATGTTAGTAGAATAAAAATAAAAAGCTGTTAAAAAAATGGTTTATGATATCTTACATTAAAAACATACATGAAACTTTTTATTTGCCAAAAGAAATGTTCAGATTTTTGTTTATCAAACAAGTCAAGAATATTATAGTGGCTTGACAAAATGTTGGAAGAACATAGAAGGTAGTACACAGGACCAAATTTTGAGGCAATGGAAATTTGAGAAGAGCGTTGAAGCATAACTGAAGTTAGTGACGCTGATAAAATATTTAGAATGAAATTAGGACAACTGAGTTATCTTCTTGTGAAAAAATTGAACAACACTAGTAATAGAATGTTTCCTGCACATAGTTTGATCCAGAGTTTACTATCACAATTACTAGGTGCTCTTACTACTGCATGAAAATTTGATATTTATGATCAGGTAGTATGTTACAAGTACTCAAAACTAACGTGAAATAGAAAATATCGTGTTCCCGTCATGATTTGATTTTTTTTTTTTTTTCGTCAATTTCCCATTTGGCCAATTACTCAGATATGTGACAATGTTCCAAAGAACTGATATAAATCTCTTAAAAGAATTTATTTGTTGATTTTTTCCTTTTTAGGTTAATAGAATCCTACTGTTTCTGGATACATATAGTTTTTAGGTTGATGATTGATATCGATCATTCAAGGTACTAAGTTACTGACTTGGGGCCTGAAGTTAATTCCACCATTGTGTATAGATTCAGTGCCAGGCGATACGAAAAGATACACTGCAAGGCTCGAAAAAGTCCAAAAATTATGAAAAATTAGAACAACATAACTAGCAGAATAGATATATAAAATAAAACCAAAAAGCAACATCTAGAAGACATAATATCATGTAAACGACCAATATAAGCACTATGACACTATTCTACTACAGTATGCTATAACTGTTGGATAATAAATATTCAATATTTATCATTACATAAAAACCCAACGAACCTAGATATATTCATATTTCATTATGAAATTGAAAAAAAGATTGAAACAAAAGTGCACCTTCAAGTGTGATGAAAGAAGATAATAGAAACCGAACCCAGAGAAGTTTGATTGTTGCTCGAATTAAAACTCCTGCTGGAGTTCTGAAAATGGAAGCCTTTGTTTGTTTCTCATTTATGTAGAGTAGAGATTAAAGAGAGAGAGTGAGAGAGAGAGAGAAGGGTGTCTAGGTGGCTGACCGGTCAACTCGGCAGATCTCGAGTGATGACTTGCAATATCACAATAGGTATTGCAAGTCACGGTGAGTTGGCTGAGAAAAGAAATGCATCTAAGAAGCCATTAGAATCTCGAAAAAACTGTCTACTACATGATATGTTACAACAGACCAACAACAAACCAAGAATCATGACAGAAAATTAAACACGCTACACTCAAAGAAAACGAAGATTTACGTGGTTACATCCACAGTAAAGATCCGGTGAAAGATTTCATTATGCGAAAAACAGGAGATTACAAGTTTCAGCCCCCAAACCCTAGTTCTCTCACTCTCTCTTTTCTGCGGTTTTCATTGTTCTCTTGTTATCCCACTCCAAATTTTGAAGGCTTGATATAAGGGTTACAAGAGTCTTGAACAAGGTCCAAGACCCGCAAGAGAAAATGGGTCAAAAAAAATTTCCACCCATTTTTCAGGCCAAAACAAAATTTGGTCCACAACATCATATGATATCATATCGGACCCCTCAAAATACGAGCCGATTCAGCCACATCATCTCAGCATCAACAAAAGATTTGAAACCCACATGCTATGCGTTAACACTTCACACACATGGATAGGGGTATGAGTCCAATTGGTATGGATAGTATATACTCGAGAAATCTGCAATTAATATGGATAGTGGTAGTGATTTTACTGATGTGGGATTGAAGTGAACTAAGCATCTTCTTCTTGCAATCACCAGTCCTGGACTGTTGAGTCATTAACTCTCTCATCAATGGTTGGTGTTGTGAAGAGTAATTGATCAATAATAAACTTCAAAGCAAGCTAAAAATGCTCTCTAGAGAAGGGTTCAGCAGTCCAAATATATATATATATATATATATATATATATATATATATGTATGTATGTATAGAGTGGTGTTCGACTGCTCCGTGGTGAGCAGGGAAAACTATACTCACTTTTGATTGTAGCATCTTGCAATGTTTTAGGAAATTTGCTTATTTAAATTACCCATTAATCAACATTGAGGTAAAATGACCATAATGGACATATTCATAAAAAAAAATAAAAAAAAATAAAAAAAAAAATCGAAATCAATTTTCTTTAATACAACCTTTCAAGATTTGGTCGGAGTATCTCTCTGTAGAATTTGATTAACGGTGGATTTTCTCATCTCTCTCAAATATAAGATTTCACCAAAATTATATATTCAGATTTGGCCTATTTGTTGAGCCAAAGCTATCATGGCCTTTAATGGCCGCCTGAATAGCATGACTCTGTTTGAATATAGAAACTATATTTAACTCTATAGAAATTAATGTTCTTCAACCATTTTTTTCATAATCAAAACTGAACATTAATTTCTATTGTGGTTTGGAGGTACAAAAATATCCCTCTTAGCGAAAGTATTTCCAAAATGGTACTTCCATCAGAATTCTAGTAACAAAACCTTCTTCTCTATTATTTGCCCACAAACGGAAACCCCTTAAAGCCTGTATCAACTAATTCATGATCTCCAATAAAACTCAGACAAAGAAGAAATTAGGGGGGAAAATTAGATTAGCAAATCCAAAAAAAAAAGTTTTCTGTTATATCCATCCTGCAAGTTTCATCTATCAAATTCTATTTTTGGTATTTTCTTTATTGACTCTTATATTTAAGAGAAATGAGGAAATTCACGATTAATCAATTGTAGAAGGAGATACTCGGACCAAATCATGAAAGGTTGTTTCAAAGAAAATTGATTTATTCTCTTTTACGAATTTGTCCATTATAGTCATTTTACCACAATAGTAATTAATGGCTAATTCAAAGAAAATAAGTTTCCTAAAACAGTGCAACGATTCTATTAGCCATAGGATTAGATCATACGGCTACAATGACAAGTGAGTATAGTTTTCCCTGCTCACCAGGAAGCAGTTGAACACCACTTTGATAAATAGCCCCTTCAGACATTAGGAGTAATTGGATTGGCTATAAATAAGTGATGTGGTTTACCACAGATGGCTATATGTATTTGGTTTACCTGCTTTATTTAGGAAGTGGTTGGCTTTCAATGTTCCAGTAATTGCAAGATCCCTGATTATTACAAAGATGATCTGATTATGGGGTTAGTGGCATTTTTGTTTGTTAGAAGTTAAAAGAGGCATGAATCAGTTTTGAGATGCCTGACTTTTATTTGGTTAAATATTTTTTTATTTTCTTTTCTATCTCTCTCTCTCTCTCTCTTTTTTTTCCCCTTCTGATTTGTGCTCACTCTATTTTAAACAGATATCAGGTATTGCACGGGGGCAACGTCAAATCGTGCATCAGTTAGACAATCTTAGCAACCTTCTCCACGAGAAGCTGGGAGAGAAGTCTGGTCGTGTAAAATCAGAAAAGAAAAGCATAATGGCAGATGTTGAACCCATTAGAGTTTCTCTGATTTTAACGTTGGCTATTGGGGGTTTTGGAGCCATCTTGTTTAAGGGTTTTCTACCCCGAAATTGATTCTCTACCAAATAATTCACATTTAGATCTTCACATCTTCTTTTCTTTATTTCTTTTTAGTTTTTTCTGATTGGGTCCCACCGAGCATCTTGCAATACTACCTTCTGATCGTGAAGACATACTGTTGATTGACCATATGATCTGTGGTCGGAGATAATGGAGGCAAATATTCACCTTCAAGCTTCTCTTAAGAGTTGTTTTTTTTTTTTTTAGAAGGGCATGCTTAAGCAAATTTTTGTAACTTTGTGGGATTCCTTGTTCCCGGTGGAAATGTTTCAACACGACGCTTTCAAGAGTATAATCCACACTAATATAGGATACAATTATAATTTCCTTCACAAAGTTTACCCTTCAATGCAGATTATAAATCCGAGACCAAGTTGATATATATAGACTTGCTTAGTTCTTTTGATTCTTGTTTCCTACCGGCGTTCTGCAGAAAGTTTTATATGTGCAGAATAATTTGGAAGCAGGCTCTGTATTTCAGCTGAGTTAGAGGGATTGGGAAGCTTCTGTTGATATTGCTTATACTTTTTAGATGATTATATGGTCATTTTGTGTAGAGTGGCAAAGATGCAACATATATGACTACAGTACAGAAAGCAGATTATTATGGGACATTTTAGTGCACAGATATATTGAGACATATGAACAGGATGCTAGATATTTCCATTTGGATATATTTGATTATGTAGAGTTCTGTGCACTAAACCTTAGTTGGATTTGAAGAACATGTCTCCACAGGAACATTCCATGGAAAAAATCATGTTGGTCTCTGTTTAACGTGTGTCACTTCTTGTATCTGTAGATGCGTTTTGAAAATTGTGACTATATAGATTGTGCAAAGTAGACAATATATGCACATTAGGGCAGACGGTGATAGATGATCCTGTTTCAGTATCCTTGAGAAACACAGGCACAAAAAAGTACAAAGGAAAGAAAAATCTTCAAGTATTCAGAGAAAAGCACACAACAATCGAAGTTTTTCATAATAGTTGAAAGCCCCTTCTCTCTTGTGTAAGTCACAGAAGTACAAAGATTAAACATTCTTCTGTAAATATATATATATAGAAAGTAAGATATAAACTAACTAATGCCATTTTGGAAGAACTTTATTCTTGCAGTTTTAAGACTACTAGGAAATCCCCAGAAAAATGCTTCACTCTCACAAAAAGAAAAATGACATGTAACACTCAAACTGTCAGTTTCTCAAAATCAGATTCTGTACAGTCAGAAATTAACACCACCCTTTGGAGCTTCAATACCATGCTACTATACAACAAAACTCATTTCAACACTCAAATTTCTTTGTTATCACATTCTGTGATAGATTTTTCTTCTTTTCATGCTTATTCTCTTTTCTTCTCTGAGATTTACTTCACCTAGGTCCTGAGAGCTCCATGGCTTGGACAAGTAATGAAGAGTCATCAGTGAGATCGGAGTATCGCTCTGAAGAGGAGAATTCATTGGCTCTGCACCTGGTTGCCTCGGCTCTCTGGGAAGCTTCCCATTTCTCTGCTAGTCCATCTCCTTCAAGCATCCGAACCACTTCAGACATCTTTGGTCTATGACTGGGAAGATACTGAGTACATAAGAGAGCCACTTGTACCATTTCCTCCAGCTCAATTCTATCATAGTTGTTCTTCAAGTCCTTGTCAACCAGCATGTCAAGCTTCTTTTCCTGGTGGATTTTCTTAACCTGCAATCACAGCGAAAACCAAATGAATCGACCAAGGCAGAAAATTTTCTACCATATTTGAGTAAAAACATCGCTGTTTCACTCACCCAATCAAGCATAGCTCCTTTCTGGTTTGCTGCTTTTCCGAATTCTAAGGCTCTTTGGCCAGTGATTAATTCTAGGAGAAGAATTCCAAATCCAAAAACATCTGTTTTCTCGGAAGACTGGCCTGTTGAGAGATACTCTGGAGCTATGTGCCCCACGGTGCCCCTAACAGCTGTTGTGACATGTGAATCGCGGTGATCCAAAAGCTTTGCCAATCCGAAATCCCCTACCACAGCTTCACAGTAGTCGTCAAGCAATATATTTGCAGCCTTCACATCCCTGTGAATAATCTTGGGGTCACATTGCTCGTGCAGGTATAGCAAACCCCTTGCAGCTCCCAGGGCAATTCTTTTCCTCGTGCCCCAATCCAAGGCCGGTTTGCCTGCAATAGAGAGCGATGAATCTAACTATGAGTTGCAGAATTTATACTCACACAAGAAAGAATTATGTTTATGCTAGTGACATATATGTTAGTGACTTCATGTCATTGAACTAGACATTTTGATGGCTGTTTTACCTTTGAGACGCGAAGCAACACTCCCATTGGACATGTAAGGGTACACCAGAAGCCTCTCTGATGTTGTCATACAGAAGCCGTAGAGCCTCAGGAGGTTTCGATGCACTGCAAGGCTGATCATCTCGACTTCAGTCTGAAATTGGATCTCCCCTCCGATGGCATTTCCATCTTTGAGCCTTTTCACAGCTACAACAGTCCCATCCGAGAGGTACCCTTTGTAGACATTTCCGAAACCACCCTTTCCAAGTATGTTCTTGCTGCTGAAGTTGTTCGTGGCGGTCTGAAGTTCTCTGAATGAAAACCTCTTCAAGTTTCCAAGGCAAACTTCTTCGCGGTGTTGTTCTGTAAGTTAGCCAAAAAAAAAAAATGTCTGTTCATAAAAAAGTTTGAAACTAGCTAGTATTTGCCAATTTGTGAGGTTATTTAATCTTTTACTAACCATTAACGTCGAAGAATATTTGCTGGTTGTGTCTGTGCCTCCACCAGAGAAGGAATCCGAAACCAAGAATCAGTAGACAGATGCACCCAAGGCTAGACCCAAAGGCTAAGGCAAGTTTGTGACTTTTAGGCCTTCCTAAAGGTTGAGAATCTAATAAAAGCATACATATAATTACTCCTCCATGAGAAGAAACAGTTCAAACCAATTCAACTACCAAATAGCTGCAATGACATATGTAAAACTCGAAAGAGGGTGAAGAATTATCCGTTATATGGAAGTTCAAAACCGGGAAAAGTTTCAAAGAGAAGCAACAACATAATATTTGGAACCACAAGAACAGAATGTTTCAGCCAAAAAAACTAGTGATTGTGTTCTTACTTAGCGAATTGTTGTAGGGGAAATTAAGTGGCATTGGTGCTGTTCCATTGCAGTCTGCCTCTTTCCCGGTCGCGCATATCATAGGGTTTCCCAAGATGCTGTGCCATTGAAATAAAATAATGAGCAAAGAGAGAGTTTTGGTGATCCATCTTCCTAATTCAAAGCCAAAATGAAAAAAAATAAAAATAAAAATTCAAATAACTTACCTGAATGTTTTGGCAAGCCTAGGCACTGGACCACTCAAATTATTGAAAGACAAGTCCCTGGAACATGAAACAGAACCCCAAAAAAGAAACTGTCAAATAAAAATTTCAGTTGATAAATTCAGAGAAACATATCAATTGTAAGAGGTTAGAGGAGACTTACAGAAACGAAAGCTGAGACATGTTTGACAAAGACAAAGGAATTGCTCCGAAAAGACTGTTATTGTTAAGCCTCCTGTTCAAAATGATCTAAAAGATTATCCCTTCACAACTAAAAAAATTCTATACAAAATTCACCAATACAAATACACACACACACACACACACATATATATATATATTCATTTAGAACTTACAGATATTGGAGACTTTTGAGATTGGCTAGAGAAGAGGGAATTTCACCACTGAAGTTATTGTTAGAAAGATCAAGTGTGTGTAGTTTTGGAAGCCTCCCAATCTCAAAGGGAATTGATCCTGATATGTTGTTATTCTGTAGAAGCCTGCATAACACCTCATTTATATATATATATATATATATATAAATATACTCTAAAACACTTACTGTAAATCATTGAAATCATTCTTTTGTTCTCTTTTTTAGGGTACTTACACAATTTGGAGATTTGTCAAGTTCCCAATACTCGGTGAAAGAGTACCGGACAAATTCTGGCTAGGAGTTCCTCTGCAACAAAGACCAAACTCAGTATTACTGATTTTAGCTTTGATGGACACCATTTTCAACTTTATTGGTGTATATGAATTTGGAAGTATGATATAAATTTAATTGTATGTAACTTACAGTCCAATAACTTGATTATCAGGTAATGAACATGACACCATAGTCCAGCTACATGGATCAACAGCATTTTCATCCCAATTCTCAAGAACATTATGAGGATCCATTAAAGAACGTTTAATATCCATCAAAGCTAGCACTGGAGAGAATCAAAAGAAACCGAAAATTTCAAAAAAACAAATTTGTAAAAATGAAAAGAAAATAGAAATTTATGATAATTTTCCCAAATTAACAAACATTTTGTTTTATATGAGATTGGGGGAAAAAATCAAGTTACCTTCATAGTTGACACCTTTCGTGGTAAGCGCAGCGCTTGCACAAGTCAACAAACAGAACAGAGTCACACAACACAAAACATTGCCATATCTTGATATTCCCATTGTATCAAAGGTTTGAAAAATGAGCTTGTGAGTTGTTAGGATTGGTTTGATGGATTGAAAAACACAACCAAATTTGAGATGGGCTTATTTGGTATTTTGATGAGCTCTGCTCATGCTTTGACAAACCACAACTCGTGCACTCACTCACAGCTTCTGATCACAAACACAAGGGAGATAACAGAGGCTTTTGGTAGTAAAGTGAGGGAACTAACATGCCTGCCACTTGTTCAGGAAAGTAAAGAAAAGAATATATATATAGATATACAATATATAAAAGCAAAGACAGAATTCACCCAATCTAGTTAAATTCAAAAGATGATGGAAAAAAAAGAAGAGAGAGAAATTCCTTCAATCATGCATTGGTTTAGCAAAGAATGACTTTAGAATTTTCTATGCTATTCCCAGAATTTAAAATTAAAAGCCACTGAAGTGCTAACCTGTTAAGCACTGTAAGTAGTTTATTATTAAGTGGTTCAATCAAAAATTTCTGTGGGTCAGACATTTTCTCAATAAACGTGTTATATATATATATAAACATGGCCAACCAAGAACACAAATATCAATCTCTCTCTAAACCGGTTCTTTTTTGTTAATATACCCGACTAAATTCTTAAAATCGGGTCCAAGACCTGCAAGGGCGAAACAGGATTTGGGTCACAATCCAAACCCTAGATAATCTTATATACTCATAGTCCTAAAATTGGGTACATGTTCTGCAGTACCCCTGTGAATACTACGACCTGCAAGAACAAGGTGAAACAAAATTCGGGAAACAATTCAAATTAACTTGCCCGCTTTGTCCCGCCTGCTTCTATTGGATGGATTTGAGATCATCCTAATTGGGTTTAGAAAAAGAGTTTAAAACCCATTGAAACTGCCCAAGTTAATAATTATTATATAAATAAATATTATTTTATTAACTATAATTTTTCTTTTTCTTTTTATTTCCTATGATAATTTTAAATTTTAACGATATTTTTGTTATTATTATTATTATTTGATATAAGACTATACTATAAAAATTGACAAAATTTATCTTAAATTTATATAAGTTTGATTTACTTTCCTTATTAAAATATGTATAATGGGGTGCTTCGAACCGTTCGACATCGCATCGGGCACCACAAATCGAATTTGAAAAAATATTTTTATTAGTGGGACGGATTTGAAAAATAGGTACTCATCACAAACTCGTCCCATTGATATTCCTAATACAAATACTCAAACCCTAACCGAATCCAGGACCCGAAACAAAAATAGGTGCACAATGTGTATATATTTAAATTATGTACGGGTGATACACAGGAGAGAGAGAAGACAGCACAAGTATGTTGAGATTGCTTTGGTTTGCTAAGCTTCTTTACAGTGGCTTATGAGAAACCAACATTCCCTGATTTTGGCTATTCATTAAAGTCACAAATATCATTTCTTAAGAAACAAATACACATGCATAGTACATAGATACACATATACATATATATATATATATAGTGAGAATCTCGAGGATATGACTCGAGATTGGTGAAGTAGTGGCTCCTCGTGAGATCTTTATCGAGTGAAATTATATACCCAACTTTTTTCTTTTTTAATTAGGTGAGTTGGGTTTTGCTTTATTGATTCTATAAACACTCACAATGTCCACATCGTCAAGAGAGTCCAACCAAAAAAAAAAAAATCAAAAGCAGGCAACTTTAAAAAGCAAAAGCTGCAATTTACTCACTCTCTCTCAATCTCGACTTTCTCTCTCTAAACTGAACTGTGGGTCCATCATATATCGTAAGCTTCTGTAAAATAGAAACTTTCTTGAATTAATGCCTTCGATCAAGAACAATGGTGACTCAAGTGTGCCTTGCTAGGACTGAAGTTTAGGACTGAAGTTTAAGTGCATGAAGTCACAAACACACCCTCTTTTATAATCATAACATCTATATATATTGTATAGATATAAATATATATGTGTGATTATGGAGTATTGTACCCACGTACACGTGCAGTGTGGACCCTATATGCTGTTGACTTGATCTTCAAACGGATTGATTAAATGTTCATGATTATTAATAGAGAGGAAAGTACATTAAATTAAATGACCATCATTATTATTGATCAAATGTGAGAATGTTCATAAGTATAGCACTAAGCTTTAGATTAGAGACGTTATTATGTTTAGAAGCAAATTGAGGGTCTGATTGGATATAGAGATAACCTAGCACAACCATTTTGAAAGCATACTTTGGTGCAACCGAAAAATTCCTTACAAATTCAAAACAAGGGACAGTTTCTCTCATACTAAAGTACTTTTGAGATGTTGCAGAGGCCTCATGCATTGGATTAGTCCTTCAATTAGGTTCAGAACTGGTCGTTGGTTATAAATATATATATATGTGTGTGTGTGTCTGTGTGCAGGAAACAATTATAGTCATTAGGTGAGAATTGAACAGCTTACGGCAAGACTAAGTAAGCATGAAAAATCAGTTCCAACCACTAAAGGGGAAGTGTACGAGTCAGGTGGGATGAATTATAAGTGAGCCCTAGTGATTGGAACATGTTCCCCAATGGCAAGAGCAGGACAAGCATGAGAAAAGAAGGTCCTTATATTAGTGCATTAAGGGTTAATGCACTAGGACTAGTTGGCTATTTATTCATTTATTGTCAATTCTAAATACATCCCACCATAGGCCACAGCCAATAAAGACATTCCACTGGCTGGATTCTCAAACCTTGGTATAGATATGGTTTCTTTTCTTGTCTATTCACTCCTTCCAATTTATTATTATTATTATTTTTTATAGGTCCTTTAGCTCCATTTCATGCCCCTTTCACTTCCCCACCCCACCCTTTTTTTTCCTTTCCCAAAGTGAATTCCCTTGCGTTTGGAGGGTCATGTCCATCAAAACAACATCGTTTTGATACATAAGTATGAAACCCAATTCGCAAGAATGGAGCCAAAATAAGCCTATGGGGTCATGTGCCCGCTGGCTTGGCCCCCTCTATAATATATGTGGTATTTTTAAATTTTTTTTCAATATATATAAACAAATTTATAATGCCTCCTAAATTTTTTAGTCTCTTAAATTATGTCTTTTAACTTTTTCTTTATTTTTCTCTTTTACTCTTTAAATTTTTTTCATTTACTTAAAAGAGAATGCCAAATTTCTTTCTTTTGTCTTTTTATATTTCTTAAAATTCTTTTTTTTTTTTTTAACATGCCATATTTAAATAATTTTCTTTTTTTATATTTTATATTTGTATGTTATATATCACTGTGCTCCTCCTACTAGAAATCCTAATCCGGTCCTGCCAATGTAGGACCCATGTTGGAGCTCCATGCAATTTACTTTGAATTTCGTACTTACGCATTAAAACAACGTCGTTTAATGCACAAGACCCTCCAAACAGATGGGAATCCTTATCTTTATAATTAAATCTTCTCTCATGAATTTACAAAATTCACTGTCAATCAACTAAGGGACTCTCTCTCTCTCTCTCACACACACACACACACACACAATATTGTAGTCAAAAGAGAGTCAAACAAGTGGGTTTGGACAAATTGACCATAATCATAATGAAGATATTCACTAAGTGGGTGGTAGCCAAATGAGTAGGAAATAATTGTTCTTTTACAAATTGGTTAGTTTGAATAGAGGGAAAGAGCTTACTACTACTACTACTCCTCTAGCTTTGAACAATTTGTACCAACCCATATCATATATCATATGCCTTTGGAACTGTCCCTTAAAGAAAGGGAAACATTATAGAGCATCCAAAACAGTTGACTCTCTCAGACCCCACCCTTGTCTCTATCTCTCTCTCTCGCGTTTCACAACCTGCACAGTCCACTCCACCTCTGAATTTCCTACCAACAACATCACCTCTACTTTTGTACTCTGTACACAACTCTGTCAATGACATCAACCACTCACCTCCTAGCAGATCTGAATCACTCAAGGACACAACTACTTGTGTTACATTTTAACACATATACTCCTTTTCAATGGGTAGCGCGGACTCGTGTTACATTTTAACACATATAATCATTTTCAATGGGTACCGCTCTCATGCTACGCACTCGCTCTTACCCACATTCTCTCTATTTGTAACTTAATGTTATCGTTTTTACGCTCTCGCTCTTGAATTCTCTCCTGTTCTCGTTTTATGTGACTTAAGTTATATTATATATATATATATATATATATATATATATATATCTGTTATACTGAACGATCTGATATACAAAAAACTCGATGGAGATCACGCTAGAGTGAACCCCACCTCCTCTGGATGGTTGGGGTTCATAGTTCATTAGGAGAACATGACTTATATGTCACTCTTGAGACAAGTAGAGTCGATTTAACGATAAGAAAGGGCAAAAATATTATGTTATGTAGTGTAAAATGGCATCTTATTTGACTAAATATAGTATATTAGAAGGGACCATTGTCACTTTCAAATTTTAATAAGGTCTATCCATGAGTGAAGATAGAATATATTCCTTTTTCAATGTTGTGCCGTTAAAAGCTTAGGATGCCTCACACACCACCTATGCTTTTCTCACTCTTTACAATCTAAATTCTTCATACCACTACATAAAGTGAGAAGGAACGGTCATCTCCCTCTCATAATGGATATTTAAATTTGGGTTTCGATTTAAATATATATATATATATATATATATATATATATATACTCCGTATAATAAAAAGAAAACAAGAAAAAAAGGTGATATAATTCAAATGCAGACAGGCCCATGTACACCCACATATAGTACCATACTACCAAGGAAGAAGCTAGTTTGAGGAGACATGGGTCCCACTAATTTCCTTTTTGATGAATGATGATGAAACCTTGAAGAGGACCTCTCTCAGTCAGACACCTTCTTGCAACTGTTGACACCCCAACCACGCTTCTGCTGTAATGGTTTGTCCCTTATAACATTTTGTCACACACACACACACACACACACACACACATATATATATATATTGACATAATATTTTGTCATTAACATAGAAGAAAATCTGCTCTATTTTGGCTCTCTCTATATCATTCTTTGCTTTTTTAAGTGCAACAATAATGATCACAGTTTGAACATGTCATGTTGATTTATATATAGTTGTGTGATTTAACATGACTTTTAGAAGCATTAGCAAAAGAAAAAGTGAGGAATGAGGATCAAGACTGGGACAAAAAAGATTAATTGGAATTTAAAGTGAAAATTAAAGAAGCCACCATCAAACAAACCAAGATTTGCCAATAAAATCTACTACTACTGTTGGCCTAATTGGAAGTTAATCACTATCTTATCAGAGTGATAAAGTGTCATTGCTGGCATCCATATATTATACATATGACACAACAAAAAGATGCTTAACACGCGGCAAATTTTGACCAACTATTCATCTATTGATTTTATTTAGGCTAATATTCTACTTTATGCGTAAATATATAAAAAAAAAATTTGACAAGAGAAAATTCAAGTGAAATGGGTATGGATGTACGTAGAGCCCGGATCCTCTACTAAGGGTTTTGGGCATGATAGTTTCTGTAGTGTTTTTTAATACGCTTATATATATTTTAACATATTTTATTTATGTAAATTCTATAGTATTTTTCAACGCACTAACGTCTATTTTCAACAATCCAATAATCGTTTCATTTACATTATTTAGTGATGCAACTGCATTAAAAACGTGTTAAAAATAGATGTAATTTATCGAAAATCACTACAGCACCTAGGCATCGAAGTAGCGAATTCAGGCTCAATGGCACCTCAGTTTATCTCGTTTGTATGGCACCGGCCAGTGACACAAGCTTAAGCATCTGTTTGGTCAATTATTCCATCAGAATTGTTTAATACAGATTCTTTGATCATCTAAAACAAGAGAGAAAAGGCCACCACACAGACACAAACACTTTTGATTATACATGATTTTCTTTTCACACACAAACAGATTTTCTGGGATTTGAGTTTATTTTGGGCCCATGACTGTGTCACGGAGGCACAGTTTCTGCTTCCAACTAAGAAATAGCAATGCAATGCTAGTGTTTCTTTACCTATTCAGTATTCGTCGGTGAGTAAGTCATTTATATTATCGTTGATGTGGTCCAATCACAAATGCATAAATAGTTCCTAATTACAAAATTAGAAAATCAATAAATAAGGACATTAACTTTTAATTTTCTTATTTATTACTTTCTTGATTTTGTAATTGCAGACCACGTGTACCTTTGTAATTGGACTTTATTAGCAGTTGGTGGGGATGACCAAGACGCCCCACAAATGCACTATCCATGGGGCTCAAACTGTCACTTCTCCTAGGGAGAAGAGGTTATACCACCTGAATCATCTATAATCAATTTTGTTACATTTCGTTGGTAATTACAGTGAGGTTGTGTTTGACGGCATATAATTAGAGCCTTGGAATTGGTAAAAAAGTTGGTTCAATTTTTTGAATTGCTTTTTTTTTTTTTATTCCAATTTCAAAACTCCAATTTCAATTCCAAAACTCTAATTCTATACCAACCAAACAAAATCTGAAAATTTTGTTAAAATAATTACATGCCTGTCTTCCAAGTTCCTCAATCAATTCAAGAGGTCAATAGTAACAAGGAAAGGAACAAAGAGATGATCCATAATAAGGCAGAGCTATGTTGCAGAAGTGACCACAAGGTCCACAACCATGGGTACTGATTTGAAACAAACAAAGCAGAGTACGGCCAAAAAAATAAATAAAAAAAAAAAAAAAAATAAAGAAGAAGAAGAAGAAGAAGAAGAAGAAGCAACCAGCTCCTCGAAAAGCCAAGTTTTTAGTGGAATTGGTGATTAACATGGTTTTAGAGCATGCTGATAAATGAATGAATGAAAAAATTAAGTAACGCAATCTTTAATATAGTTTGCCGTATCGGTCGGTTTGTAACCCTTTTTCAAGGGTCCGATATTGTTACACATCTCTATGAACCAGCCAATTTAGCAGACCCGATATCTGTCCAAGTTTGTTACATCGCGACCGCGAACAATACCACGACTGCCAACCATCATCACTAACAAGTTTTTTTTTTTTTTCTTTTTCTGTTAGGGGTTTTTTTTGTATTGCATGAGTATCAAATTTAGGCACGCAATTAGTAGCATAGTCAAAAGGGTGGCAGTGGTCCATGTCCACAACTAGCATCATGTTCATTTTAGTGGAAGTGTCAACCCCAGTCCCACTTGAACTAAATTTCCAAAAACAAGATACACACATTCCCTCAATCAATATCACCTAAAATATGGCCATTAAGTGAATGTATTGGCATGGACATGGTTTTGACAAAGATTTCTTGAGATGTGAGGACCATTTTTAATCATGTCTTTGCATCAAACACCCTCCACAAACTCAGCTTTATTTACCCGCCTCCCTTATTTACTTGAATTTCAAATATTATTAAACTCTAAAAGGAACATAGCTCATCATCCTTCTAGGTCCACAGCACGCACGCATATATGTTTAGTCAGTCTTCCAAAGAACTGAACATACGAATTCAGACACACTGATCAATGTGCTCCTCCTGGCCCAATTCTTAAGTAGGCTGGCCTGCAAATGAACCAAATCTTTTATAATAGTTTGGGCTACGCAGCTTTATAAGAAGTTAGTTCGTTTTCGTTTGTTAAGTAAATGAGCCAAACTCTAGCTCGAATTTGAGCTAAAAATTGGTTATACGAATAACATAGAACCAAGCTCAAGCTTCGATAACAATGTCTGAGCCTCTTTCAAACACAGATATCTAGATTCCGCTCGAGTTCGAATGATTTTTGATAGATTCACAAAATGATCACAAAGGCTACCTGAGCACCTACGAATATCTAAACTCAACAGATTCTAGGAGGGCAAGATCTATTTAAAAGCCAGTATTTTCAGTTTTAGGAGAACTAAAAATCAAAAAATTGGGGTTTGCTTGGTTGAGGCTGCCGTTGAAACCTGGCACTCCAAATTCTACCGGAGGCACTAACCCACTCGACTATAAGTTCTTTCTTTGTTTATTCTCTTCTTTGTTTAATAACATTCGATCAGTTTCCATAACCGGGGAAAAAAATGCAATCTGATCACTTATCACATTTAGCTGTTTAAAAGATGATCAAATTATTGAAATTAGTAATCTTGGTCAAAAGAAGCTAATTACATTGTTACCCAACACATTGAAACCATATATACAGTATATAGAACAAAGAAATAAGGCCTCAACTCTGATTGAGTGAAATATGAATGCAAAAAGTCTGCTTTTCAATCTGCCATCATGCGGATGCCTTGATAGTCTATTAAGTTAGTGCCTCCGGTAAACTTTGGAGTACCAGGTTTCAACTCTTTGCATCTACTAATTTAACTTCTAAAATGCAATAAGCTAAAAAAATTTACAACATACCTTAAGATTGATATGAAACCTAACAAATAGGCCCCGTAGTGTTATTCATTCATTCATTCTTCTAACTCTAAGAACTCATACCTAGTTAGCTTGAAGTTTATTCCAATCTGTTGAAGCATTGTATCAAGTACAATATAAGTATCAAAAGAAGAATAAGAAGAAAAAAAATTAAAGAGGAATAAGAAGAAAAAAAGAAGTTAAAAGAGTAAAAATAACAAATTTGAAATTGACCGGGAAAAAAAATGATTAGCAATCTTTTTTGCAACATGATTACATCACCTTCAGTTGAAATAAGCTCTCCATACATTCGGTAAAGCAAAAACTTGACTTTGAATGTCTTTTTACAGGTAGGTTGCAGTATCTCAGTTTGTTACTTTCCAGATCATGATCATAACAAATACAATGATCTGAAGATACATCAATGTGCTCCTCCTTCCTACCAAACAGATCATGATCATAATAACACATTCGGTATGGTATGGACGGTACCAACTCCAAAGAACTGAAGATACATCAATGTGCTTCTCCTGGCCCTATTCTTAAGTTGGCTGACCTGCAAAGGAACCAAAATATTTTAAAAAGTTTGTCTCTGCAGCACGATAAGAAATGAGTTCATTTTTTATTGTCAAGTACAAAGGAGCCAAACTCAAGCTAGAGTTTGAACTCAAAATTCGTTTTGTACAAACAAAATGAGCCAAGCTCAAGCTTCAGGAACAATTTTTTTTGCCCTTTTCATTCAAATGACAAGCTTCAGTCTGGACAGCACTGCTAAATGAACGCTTTAATTTTGATGAAATTGGAAACCAGAGGAACTTGTACAAATAAAAAAGTAGGTTGCTAGACATGGAAACTATAGAATTCTTTTGTAGACTAGAATTGATAATGCAGATCATTGCACTCTGATCCAAACAGGCTAGTTTCTCAATCTTATCTTAATAACAAAGTTAGACAAATCCATTGAAATATGTAAGCATAGCATCTAGCCTTTCCTTCTCAGTATCTGCGTTACAGGATCAATACTAGGTAATGGCATTTTATCTTCGACTCCAACATTCATTTCTATACCTTCTTTCATTTTATAAAAGAAGACAGCTATGATTAACATAAGATACGAAAGTCAATTTTTCGTTACAAGATTAATTACAAAATAAAGATAAAACAACAGTGTACCAAATAAAATGTGCGCGCGCGTGTTTATAGTTGAAACATTTGCAATAAGTTTTATATTTAAGCACGAGTTGTAACAATTTGGAGCACATGGTGGCACAGACATACTATTTTTCATCTGATGATGCTCCACAAAATCCTACAGTGATGTCAGAGTAATTGCCAGTGGTAGATGGGCAGCAAATTTTTAGATACTCAATAGTACTCACTAAATCTGAAACAAGTACCAAAAGAGAAGGAAAAAAAACAAAAGAAAGGAAAGATAGGTCATCAGAATGATCACAAAGGCTCCCTGAGCATCTAAGAATACCTAAACTCTGACAGATTCTAGCCTCCATTTTTTAATAGACTAAAAGAGGGCTAGAGTTATCTAAGAGCCAACCATTGTGACATTGCCACAACCATAAGACTCCTAATCTTTCCTATGTTTTCTAAGCATTGAAATAGAGTCCACACTGCAACTAAAACTTGTGGCATCAAATTTATTGAATTTTCCAAATGAGAATAATTAGAACTTATTTATGCCAATCAAAATGTTCAACAATCTCTTAGTTACATCCCCTGCATGTAACAACCCAAGCTGATGCCAAAATTTAAAAAAATTTCAGCATAACCTCCCCTAAAAATGGTCCTTCAACAACCTGTCCCAATACACAAAACACATAGTACAATCCAGCATCCCATTCATCCGTTCATTATACCTCAACATAGTTCCTCTCATGGTGAAACATTCACACACCAATTAGTCTAACTTGTCATAATTACAGTCCCAAAATACATAGTTAAGATCTAAAGTCCCTATCTTATAACGTTACATGATACAATTGCATGGAAATATATACCACAATTCCATTAGTTTCATTTACATTAAACAAAAGATAAATTCGTTCTTAAGTTACAAGGCCATGAATACTAACTTAGTTACATTTCCACAACTATGAGTATACATAGAAAATACAAAATAGCAAACAACCTTCTAACAACTTTCAAGCTTGAGGTGGATTGTCGTCCACCGGTTCATTTCCAAGACCTGAAAAAATAATATAAATAGTAGGGTGAGCAAATATGCTCAGTAGGTGACGCCTAAGACGCACCTCTTGAAACCCCGTGAATCCAAACAAAGCATAGACCAATGGGGATAGGGATCATACAATGTAGGGGAAGGATACAACATGGTTACCAATCTCAACACAAATGACAAGATGCAATGGAGATGCAAATGCATGCCGATGTCGCTCCCCATTTTCAAATTCAAGATCATCACTTTCAAACTGTTAATACAGCCCGCCCTTTGGTGACCCCGCAGCGACACGAGAGGAGGATTGGCTAGTGTCCCTGACCCTTGGTAACCCCGCGGTGTCATTATGGGCCCAGCTAGCTCAACCACACTAGGGCGACTCCCTAGTCCCCTCTAGGCTATATTAACATCTGGCCTGTTGGTAACTCCGCAGCGACCGGGTTTGCATAAAACCATTTCATCAAAAACATATCTCCAAAATTCCTCGTTTCCATTTCAAAAACATTTTTCCATCATGCAATCCCATGATTCACATGTATAGCTCATGCCTTTAATGGTAAATCAATGAGGGATTATTATAAAACACACTAGAGTATGCTTTCCTACATCATTTATAGCATAAGAACAATACAATACGCATAAACTCATGGTACAACATATTTCTCATATAACAACATTAAAACAAGCCTCCACATATTCACATAGGTACTAATCATGGCATTCAAAACAATAACTAACACAATTAAGCATGTTATATCACATATAAAGTAGAAAACTCACAAGGGTGCAAGAAAAATGTGAATTAGGAAGCCCCTACCTCAAGATTGCACAAAACCCTTGAAATAGGTCTTGAATTTCAAAATCCAAAGGGTGCACAAAAACTGAAATTGATGGTATGGATGTGTAGAGCTCGTCGTGGGCTTCGTTTTGCCTCAAACGGCACCTTAATCCGATAAGAGATGAGGGATTAATCAAGACTTGAATTTGTAAACTAAAAAAAAAAAAAAAAACAAAAAGCCGAGAAAGATATAGACAGAGACGGGAGAAGAGAGAATGAGATTACAGAGCTTTCAAAAACGTGGTCTTATGACCACTTAAACATTAGTGGGTCCCACCTATTTTTTTTTTTTTTTTTTCTTTTCTCTTTTTCTTTTTCTTTTAAATTACAGACATTACATTCTCCCCAACTTTAAAAAAGATTTCATCCCCGAAATCAAGCCATACCTGAGAGAGAAAACAACTCTGGATACTTGGAGCGAACCTCCTATTCGAGCTCCCAAGTAACCTCCTCGACTCCATGGTGTCTCCAAAGGGCTTTCACCATTGGTATCATCTTGTTCCTTAACACCTTCTGTTGTGTGTCAAGAATCTGAACTGGTCCTTCCTTGTAGGAAACATCCTCATCAATGTCTACATCAACCCAACTCAAAATGTGAGATGGATCTGGCTCGTACTTTTGTAACATCGATACATGGAAAACATTGTGGACCCTGTCCAACTGTGGTGGCAAAGCAAGTCTGTAGGCAAACTCTTCTACACAGTCCAAAATCTCAAATGGTCCAATGAATTATGGCGACAACTTGCCACTTTTCCTAAATCTCATCAATTCTTTCCGTGGAGAAACCCGTAGAAAAACATAGTCTCCCACCTCAAAGGATAAAGGCCGTCTCCGCTTATCCGCATAACTCTTCTATCGGCTCTGAGCTGTAAGTAACCTCTATCTTATCAACTTAATCTTCTCAGTAGTCTCGCGTACAATGTTGGGTCCTAAGGCGGCTGTCTCGCCTACCTCAGTCCAATAAACAGGAGACCTACAATGTCTACCATACAACGCCTCAAATGGAACCATCTGAATGCTCGCCTGATAACTGCTGTTGTAGGCAAATTCAATAAGTGGAAGGTGATCCTCCCAACTACCACCCAAATCAAGCACATATGCCCGAAGCATATCCTCCAAAATTTGGATAGTACGCTCCGACTGACCGTCAGTCTATGGATGGAATGCCGTACTCAGATGCAACGCTGAGCCAAACGCTGCTTGAAGTCCTTCCCAGAACTTTGAAGTGAACTTAGCATCCCTATCTGACACAATGGTTACAGGAACTCCATGTAACCTCACAATCTCCTTCACATAAAGAACAATAAGCTTCTCTGCATCATCTGTTGCCTTAATAGGCAAAAAGTGAGCCGTCTTGGTCAATCTGTTAATGATGACCTATACGGCCTCATTGCCCCTCCGTGACCTTGGAAGACCTGTCATAAAATCTATAGTGATATGTTCCCATTTCCACTGCTCTACAGGCAATGGTTGCAATAAACCGGCTGGTCTCTAATGTTCGGCCTTCACCTGCTCACAGGTAAGGCATCTAGCCACAAACTGTGCAACATCTTTCTTCATCCCGTTCCACCAATACTGACGTCTCAAATTGTGATACATTTTGGTACCATCTGGATGAACTGCAAAGCGGGAAATGTGAAACTCCCGTAAGACGTCTTCACAACAAACCGTAGGAACCACCAACAAACCTCTGAACCGTAGACCCTTATTTGCATGCAAGGCCCAATCTTTCACTATCTCACCATTGGAGATCAAAGCGTAAATGGTATCTAAATCCGGGTCCTGTCTCTGTGACTCAATCGCTCGTACAACAAGAGTAGGCTGAGCTACAAGACTAAACAAGAATGCTGGCTCACTGTCAACATCGTCATCAAAACAATATAATCACATCTCTGCCAAATCCTTAAGCATCTTCCACTTTCGAATAGCCAGACTAGCCAAAGTTCCATGGGATTTCCGGCTTAAGGCATCTGCTACCACATTTGCCTTGCCTGGATGATACTGTAAGTCAAAATTGTAGTCCTCCAAGAATTCAACCCATCTTCTCTGTCTATTGTTCAAGTCCTTTTGGGAGAAAAGGTACTTGAGACTTTTATGATCCGAGTACACCTCGAATCTTTCACCATACAAGTAATGTCTCCAACACTTCAAGGCAAATACAACTGCCGCTAGCTCCAAATCATGAGTAGGGTAGTTAAGCTCGTGAGTCTTCAATTGCCGAGACCCATAAGCCACTACTCTACCATCATGCATCAACACACACCCTAAACCATCACGGGAAGCATCACAATATAACACATAACCCAAGCCACGCTCAGGTATCACCAACACTAGAACTGTAGTCAATCTTGTCTTCAACGCCTGAAAAGATGACTCACATGCTTCATTCCACACAAACTTAATCCCTTTCCAGGTCAAACGGGTCATAGGCACTGCCAAACGGGAGAAATCCTTCACAAATCTCCGATAGTAACCCGCCAGGCCAAGGAAACTTCGGATCTCAAACACGAAATATAAGTATGATTTAATATTATGCATAGGGCCTTATTTTTAAATATCTAATTATAATGAACATTTAATATTTTTATTTTCATGAGAAATCTTAACTATTTTGTAAAACTTTAGTTACCATTTATAGGCTCGGATTCCATTGGTTGTTATCCAATGGTCCCTTCCGTGCATGGTTCCTCGCATGTACGATATAGTCCTCGACTGTTTTTCCCAGCATCTCATCAAAGATCTTGTTAACAAGTCACTGATTTCATCCAAACTGCGCTCGTAGCTAGCCAGTACAGTAGCATGATAGTGCCACACACCCGCCTACAAACGTACCCGCCCACGAAAATTGCAATCTCAGAGGAGAAAAAATCTAGAGTTTGTTTTGGATTAGTTATCTAGAAGACTAAAAACAGTTTTAGAAAGTGAAAACTGCTAATGTGGTTCTTGGAATTGCTGACGCGACTCTTGGAAAAGCTAAAGTGCCATTTTTGTTAACAAACATACCAAAGCCTAATGTAAAACTTTACGGCAAATCATTTCTGCCTCCCTAATCGCCTCCAAACTACAAAATCTACAGCTCCTGAATGTGGTTTGGGTTATGTGATCTTTTGTGATGCTTCGCCAGAAGGTTTGTGTTGTGTTTGATGTAGACAGAGCGGGTGGTTGCTTATAGGTCTTGACAGTTGTCGTTGGGGCTACAAGGTATACAGACATTCTCCTTCTTCCACAGTTGGTTGTCATAATCTTCTAATACCCAAATCATAGAGTGATCATATAATGCTAGATTTCCTCTAACTTCTGCTACATGATCAGTGGCACCCTTTGGGATATGTATAATCCGAAACTTCTCATGTTCTACCTCAAAAGCTAGTATCATTTCCTTGAATTTGGAAACAATATAAAACGGAATATATATAACGCCCCCAATGCAACAAGAAGTATCCATGTACCAATAACTATCCATTGTCATTCCGCAATAAGTATCCATTTGCAATATCTTTCAACGAGTTTGTACCAAGAGTTAAAATCTTGCATTCAACTCGAAACTCAGATCGAGAATGCCCTCTATATTGAGATATGTTTAACACTTTATATTTCTTAGTGGAAGGATCAAACCCAAAAAAGTGTTGCGAAATAAAATCCTCTATCGCGAAGAAGATGTCAAACTTGGGTGGACGGATATTGATTATTTCACTTGTGCTAGGGTTAGGGTTTGGTATTTGGTTTTCAAAACAGACTGAAGGTTTGATAGAATCTACCTCAGGCAGTGATGGTATTTCTCAAGTTTCACTCACTGGTGGAAGGACATGGATTTCTCTTGTGCTAGGGTTTAGTATTCGGTTTCCGAAACAGACTAAACCATTAATATATTGTAAAAGTTTGGTAGAATCTACCTCAGGCAGTGCGAGAAGGTGAGTGGCTGGTCCTCCTTCTGGATCTGCAGAGTAGAGATCATAACTTGTGTTCTGATCAAACTGTGAATCCGAAACCAGAGCGAGGGTGTTCGTACCGTGAGGCCGAGTATGTGAACGAGTTTGATGAGTGTCGATGAAAATGGGATCGTCAATTGTGGAACACCAAAGCTTTGAAACACACCTGAATCTCAGCAAACTTTTTACAGGAAGTTCCTTGAGTATCTCCAAGATAATTTGTAATGGAATTGAGAGCTCACGGTCCATTTTTCTTTCATCCATGAAATTAGCAGTTTAGGGTGTTTTTGTGGTGTGAGTTGTGAATGTAAATACGCCTTTATAGGGTGTTAGTTTGCTACTCACAATTACTATAATTACATGTTTATTTATTAAATACCTTCTATCTTTATAAAAATTAAAAATATAAATTTTTACAACAAAATTATCCTTTAATCTTTTTTTATCTCTCACATTTAATTCTCCTCTTTTTTTATTCCTTATATGAATAACAGTCTAAATTGTCAAATATATATATATATATATATATAGGAATATACTATTTTCTTTTTTTGAATTACCAAAACAAATAATATTATAGAAATGGATTATTTTATATCTTTTTTTAATTATATTTTAACTATATCTGTATGTGCAAAGTGTTTCAGTATTTATTTATTAATATAAAAAAAGAATTTTTATAAATGAAAAATTACCTAAAAATTATTTAAAGAGTTTAATTGAAATTACAAATTACCTAATAAAATTTATAAAAATTAATTTAAAGAGTTTAATTCAAATTACAAATTACCTAATAAAATTCATTTCTCTTGTCCCACATTGGTTTTAAGTAAAAGGATTACATAGAAGTCTCTTATAAAACTATAGACCTAAAAAAATAATAATCACACTTTTCTCGGCCTTTTGACTAAGATCAAGTGTAGTACTAAATTTTTTTTGTCGACCTTTTGGCTAATCTTTCTTGGTCCTTTAGTTAAGATCAAAAAATTACTTAAAAATTATTTAAAGAGTTTAATTCAAATTACAAATTACCTAATAAAATTTAGAGTTTAATTCAAATTACAAATTACCTATTAAAATTCATTTTTATTGTCTCACATAGGTTTTAAGTAAAAAAGATTACATGAAAGACTCTTATAAAACTATAGACCTAAAGAAATAATAATCACACCTTTCTCGGCCTTTTGGCTAAGATCAAGTGTAGTACTAAATTTTTTTGGGTCGATCTTTTGGCTAACCTTTCTTGATCTTTTGGCTAAGATCAAGTATAGTACTACTTTTTCAGTTTTTTGACTTTTCAGTATTTATTTATTTATATAAAAAAGAGTTTTTATAAACAAAAAATTGCCAAACTGTTCAATAGGCCAAGACATAAAGCACGAATGTGTATGTATAAATACGAAGTGGTTGTTATGTTGAATACTAATAATGGTCTTTGGATAGTCCAAACAAATGATAAAGCACTGTGTTTGTCTTGGCTTAGGTCGGCCAACTTAAATTGCCAAAACTGTTCTTCATATACAAGCATGATGCTTTACCAAACAAACAGTGCCTTACCTATTTTTTTTTTTAAATAAAATTATATCATATAAGACAAAGATATATTTAAAGAGTTTCTATAAAACTATAACACAAAGTTCCTATTAATCTATTTATTATGAGTTTTTAATTAAAGAAAGCCTAATTATACAAGTATTATTAATATAAAAATATATTTATTAATTAATATAAAAAGAGGTTTTAAAAGAGTTTCTATAAAACTCTAACACAATTTACCTATTTATCTATTTATTATGAGTTTTTTAATAAAAGGAAATTTAATTAGACAAGAATTATTAATATAAAAAAATATTTATTAATTGATTTAAAAATAGTTTTTAAAAGAGTTTCTATATAAAACTTTAACACAAATTACCTATTTATTTATTTATTTATTATGAGTTTTTAATAAAATAAAATCTAATTAGACAAGAATTATTAATATAAAAAATATTCATTAATTAATATAAAAAATAAAATAATTTTTCTAAAACTCTATCACAAATTATGTTTTATTTTGAGCTTCTTTAATAAAAGGTAATCTAATTAGGCAAGAATTATAAATATAAAAAAATATTTATTAATTGATATAAAAAGAGTTTTAAAAGATTTACTCTAACACATATTACATATTTATCTATTTATTATGAATTTTTTTAATAAAAAAATATATAATTAAACAATACTATATTTAAAGAAAATAAAATAATTTCTATAAAATCTACCACAAATTAGCGGTTTTATTTTCTATAAATCTCTATCACATTATATATTTATTATGAGTTTTTTAATAAAGTAAAATCTAATTAGACAAGGATATATTTAAAGAAAATAAAATAATTTTATAATACTCGATCACGAATTAGCTATTTTATTTTATATAAAATACTATCACAAATAACCTGTATTTATTTATTTATTATGAATATATTTACAGAAAATAAAATAATTTCTATAAAACTCTAACACAAATTACCTATTTTATTTTTTAAAAATATATTATTGTTTAATTATATTTTATTTTATTAAAAAAATTCATAATAAATAGATAAATAGGTAATATGAGTTAGAGTAAATCTTTTAAAAACTCTTTTTATATCAATTAATAAATATTTTTTTATATTAATAATTCTTGTCTAATTAGATTACTTTTTTTTAAAACTCTATCACATATAGCCTGTATTTATATATTTATTATGAGGGTTTTAAAAAAGGAAATCCAATTAGACAAGGATTTATTTAAAGATAATAAAATAAATTTTTAAAAGAGTTTATATAAAACTCTAACACAAATTACCGATTTATCTATTTATTATGAGTTTTTAAACTAAAGAAAATCTAATTAGATAAGAATTATTAATATAAAAAATATTTATTAATTGATATAAAAAATAAAATAATTTTTCTAAAACTTTAACACAAATTACAGTTTTTTAATAAAAGAAAATCTAATTTCTATAAAATTCTATTACAAATTACATATTTTATTTTCAATAAAACTCTATCACATTAAATAAGGATATATTAAAAGAGTTTCTATAAAACACTAACACAAATTACGTACCACAAATTAACTATTTTATTTTCTTTAAAACTCTATCACATTAAATAAGGATATATATATTTAAAGAAAATAAATAATTTCTATAAAATTGTACTATAAATTACTTATTTTATTTTTAATAAAACTCTATCACTTTAAATAAGGATATATTAAAAAAAAGTTTATATAAAACACTAACACAAATTACCTAAACTCTACCACAAATTAACTATTTTATTTTTTTTAAAACTCTGTCATATATAATCTGTATTAATCTACTTATTATGAGTTTTTTTAATAAAAGGAAATCTAATTTGACAAGGATATATTTAAAGGAAATAAAACAATTTCTATAAAACTTTATCACAAATAACAAATTATTTTATAAAACTCTACCACAAATTACTTATTTTATTTTCCATAAAACTCTATCACATTAGACAATAATATATTTAAAGAAAATATGTAATAATATAATAACACATATAAAAAAAATATAACAGTGTAAAGAGTTTTAGCATTTTAGTAAATATCTTTTAATCTAAAAAATATTTATTAATTAATCTTAAATTAGAACTCCATCACATATAATCTTAGTATTTATTTATTTATTATGAATTTTTTAATAAAAGAAAATCTAATTAGACAAGGATATATATAAATAAAATAAAATAATTTCTATAAAATAATTAAAAAATATATGAAAAAAAATTGATAAATTACCAAACATTCATCACGTGTACTGCACGTGCCTTTTACTAGTGTATATATATATATATATATATATATGTGCTATATATGGATTCACGTTCAATTCATTTGATCACAATTCATATTATTTTCTTTCTTTTTAGATTTGCCAAAATAAGAAACATTATGAGAATTGATTATTGTATTTCTATTTTTAAAATTATATTTTAACTATATATATATACACACGTCCAAAACAACATACCAAAACTCAATTAGTCAATTTCACTTTATTACTTTAGTAAACTTAACCATAATCAATAATGTTAACTTTAATGGTCAATTTACCAAAGTTAGCCAATACCTTTATTTCATCTTATGCCTCTTTAATCTCTTCCATCTTCCTTACAATCTCAACCACTACCGCCATAATACAACTACCATATTTATTCTCCAAAATCGAACTACAATGCTACCAGATTCATATTACTCTCTCTTACTCTCTTTTCTTTTAGCACTTATGATATATTTATTTTTTTGCTCTCTTAAATTTTTTCTTTTCAATTTAGGGGGATTGTTTAGCTTTTGCGCTTCATGTTAATCAGTATCAGCACTTTGATTTTTTTTATTTTTTATTATTTTTATTTTTTTTGTTTGCTTTGTTAATTTTTTTCTTTTTAATTAAAATTTTAAAATATTAAATAAATTTAGTTTGAAAAGTTGAAGCTTAGTTATGTGTAGTTGTGTTGTGGCTGTAGTGGTGAAGATGGTTGCTGTGATGGTGTGGATATGACAGTAATGGTTGAGATTGTAAAAAAGATGGAAGAGATCAATTAAGGAAGAGAGAGATTGAATAAATGTATTGGCTAACCTCTCACACACCATGCTTGGGTCTCACCTAGCCATAGAGAACACCCCCATTACCTAGGAAAATGTTGATGCCCTTGAGGAATCCTTAGATAGTATAGCTTTTGCTTGGGCCAAGAAGATTGTTGCTGAGGCCCCGGCAAAAACATTGGCCAATGCCAATATGGAGTTGACAAAAGCTAGACAGAGAATTGCTATCTTAGAGTTTGCTTTGCAGCATGGCCAAAGCTTCGCCCCTGGAGAGAATCACAGAGAGGGTAAACAATCCCTCAACTTTGAACCTCAACCTCCTGTGCTAAGAGGAAGGGGTAGAGGCTCGCTTGCAGAAGCCAAAAGAGCGGGGAGGAACCAGCATGGATCCTTCACCACCTATGTTTCATACGCGCCGCCTAGGAGAGTGGACAACCCCACCTCATCTCAGTCAAACCCTAACCAATCTTCTGAAAAGGTGGCATGGCCTCCATGTGAGCAGTCACTTCCTATTCACCAAAATAGTCTTAATAACACTGTTATCACACCTCATCTATATGACCATACCATTCCTAGCTCTAGCTTGCCTCGAGTCACGCATAGCACTTGGGCCAATATTGCAGCTGGCAACCAGAGATCTGCTCCAAAAATGATCTTTCAATTTTTCCCTCC